CCCCCTGTCATGCACAGAGCAGGGCGGATCGGGAGGTTGCAATGCCACCCTCAGTCACGCTCAGGGTAGACTGATTGGGGGGTTGGGGCACCACCCCCTGTCACACTCAAGGCAGGGTCGAGGGTCGATGGAGAGGTTGCAGCGCCACCCCCTGTCACGCACAGAGCAGGGCCAATCAGGGGGTTGGGGCACTGCCCCCTGTCACTCACAGAGCAGGGCCCATCAGGGGGTTGAGGAGCTCCCCCCCTGTCACTCACAGAGTAGGGCCGATAGGGGAGCTGGGGCACCGCCCCCTGTCACACACAGAGCAGGGCGATCAAGGGGTTGGGGCACCGCACCCTGTCACACTCAGGGCAGGGCCAATGGGGAGTTATGGCTCTACCCTGTCACACACAGAGCAAGGCCCGTGGAGGGGGTTGGGGCGCCACCCTCTATCACCCACAGAGCAGGGCCGATCAGGGGTTGTGCGCTGCACCCTGTCACACACAGACCGCAGGCAATCGGGGGTTGGGGAGCTCCCCCCCTATCAGGCGCAGAGCAGGGCTGATCAGGGGGTTTGGGCGCTGCCCCCTGTCACGCTGATCCCGGTGCTGGGAGCCTCGCTGCTCCGCTGATCCCGGTGCCGGGAGGCATATTACCCTTTTACTATATAGAATAGAGGCCTGGTGCACGGGTGGGGGCTGGCTGGTTTGCCCTGAAGGGTGTCCTGGATCAGGGTGGGGGTCCCCACTGGGGTGCCTGGCCAGTCTGGCTGAGGGGCTGAGGGCTGTTTTCCTGCTGGCAGTTGACTAAAAGCTCCCAACCGCTCCTTGTTTTCTTTCTTTTTTTTTTTTTATTCTGGGCCAGCTTTAGCTCTGAGGCCTCGCTGCTGAAAACATGGATACAATGTTGCGGTCTGGGGCTGACTGACAGCCGGTTTTGTTTAGCTTCTTATTTGCAACATAGTAATAGTTGCTCGGCTATATTTGTTAGAATGTTTCAAACTGCCAGCTCAGAGGCCGGCAAGTCAGGCGGGGAACGTTGGAGTCTGCAGTCACTTCCAGCTGCCTGGCTGCTGGCCGCCATCTTGGCTGACAGTTAATTTGCATAAGGATACGCTGATTAGCCAATGGGAAGGGTAGCGGTCGTACGCCAATTACCATTTTTGTCTTTTATTAGTGTAGATTGCCCTCCTGAGTGTTTCCTGGTGGTATTCTGCCTTTACTGTTGCTTTTAAAATTGAATTCAACTAATTTCATGTATTTATTTAAAGTAATCAATTATGGCTGTAGTTTTCTTATTCATTAAGTTAGGTGTAGTTACTTACAGTGTAGTGAGAACCCTTTCATTCTCTGTATGAAAGTGACCCAATTATAATAATAGGTATCATTTACTGATCTAAAGTACATTTCTTGTTAGTCTATTTCTAATTCTTAAAGCATGCTCCCAAGATCATAGGTTGTATTATCAACATTATATTTGAAGAAATTGGGATTTATCACTGTTGGTTTCCAGAACACTGACACACCCCCTAACCTTTAGCTATTCTAGTTCCTTTTTCTTTTACTGTTGAGTATAGAATCAGCTTTTTGGTATCTTCAGAAATCCTGTTGAGATTTTGATTAGTGTTGCAGTGAATCTATGAATAAATTTGGGGAGAATTGCTATCTTAAGACTATTGAGTTTTCTAATTCACACACATAGTATCCCTTTATATAGTTGGTGGTGGGTGTTTTTGTTTTTTTTTTTTAGTTTTTTTAGTTGTTTTTTTTTGTTTTTGTTTTGTTTTTTTGGTAGTGTTCTGTGTATAGGTCTTACACATGTTTTCTTAAATTGGTCCCTTTATGTTTCAATTTTTGATGCTATTGTAAATGACATTGTTTTCCTAATTTTAATTTTCAACTATTCCTTGATAGTATATAGAATTACATTAAATTTGTGTACTTTTGGTTTTGTTCCATCCACCAAAAGGGTGGATTACAAACAAATATTTGGTAATACGCAGTTACAATCGGCCCGAGTTTACACGTTTCCCGCACTCCACCGCAAATCTATATGAACCGAGTTAAAGACGGCTCCCGCGGAGTACGCGCAATTCACGCGAGCCGACTTAACTCGTTTCCCCCACTCCAAGTGTTAATTTTCAACTATTCCTTGATAGTATATAGAATTACATTAAATTTGTGTACAGTGATCTTGAATACTGAGACTTCGATAAAGTCACTTTTTAATCCTAGAAAATTTATGTAGATTCTTATGATTTCCTTAAACACGCACAGATTGGTGTCCTGCCAAAGCCTCAAGAGCTACTTTATATGGATTTCAGCTCATTCCTCTCTGAGACTCTTTTTCACTTTATCTCTGGTCCCTCATTTCAGTGAGAATGCCAGGCTCCGTTTGGTTTCTTCCTCCTGGCACTGTAGTCTGGAAATTGCCTCCTGGCAGATAGCCTGCATGATGTCAGGGCTCACCTTGTTTTCTGTCGGAATCATAGTCCTGCCCTGTCCAGTGTCTGAAAATTCTATAGTTGTTTCCTTTTAGTTTTGTTTTTTAAGTATACACAACACAAGAGTAATTCTGGACCTTCTTACTCCCTCAGGGCTAGGGTAGAAGTTAAAGATGGGTATTTAAAGATGTACTATACATACCTAAACAAAGAGAGGTTGGGCAATTTATTTTGGCTAAAAGAAGGAACATAACAAGAAGCTTTGAACAAGATTGCATCTCTTTCCTGGAGAATTTGAAAATGTGGTTGTGTCTTTGTATTATGGTCACTGTCATTTTCCTCTAGTAGACATGCATTAAGTGTTTATTGATTGGATGTCAGAATGGTCAAAAACAGATTGCTTAGGTGTTGGTAATATATTGTGTTGGAGGTAATGTTAGACATGTACTAAAATTTTAACAGAACTATTAGCAGATTAATTTATAAACTTTCAAAAAAGATTTTTTAATCTTTCAACTTTCTTGAAAACATCCTTACTTTCTCAGCTAGGTTATTAAGTGCTTTGAAGCCATGAGCATGGCTTCTACTTCTTTTATGTGTCTGCTTTGGCGTACTAAACTCTTATTTTAAATTGACTAACTTTTGAGTAGAAATCACTGATCAAGAGTAAAAGTCTCACATTTTGTCAGTGTCCTAGATACCAAAAATAGCCAGAGTATTTAGACTTTCTACATGAACAAAAGTAATGTGTAGAACAAGACATATTCTTGGCTGTTATGTCTGTACTTTTCGTGTGTCTGGTTTAAAGTATTTAATTTAATTAACAACTTTATGAGGTGTATTTATATATATTTTTAAATTTACAGATGAGGAAAATGAGGCATAGAAATGCCTAAGTGACATTCTTACTCGTACAGCTAGTAAGTGGCAGAGGCAAGATTTGAATCCAGACTGTCTCAATATACTAGGTGTACCGGTTAATAATGCGGATTTTGTAATCAAAGAAAACACGATAATTTCAAGAGAAACATCAAAAGTGCTTTATTCAAAGTAATGTCCATCGCTAGCTACACATTTCCCCCATCTTTCAGGTAATTTGTGCATACCGCCCCAATAGAACTTTTCTTGTTTTGGGGCACACCATTCAGAGACCCAATTTTCCACGTCTTCGTACATTTTGAAGTGCTGCCTCAGAAAGTGCATGTGCCATCGATCAGAACAAGTGATAATCTGAAGGAGCAAGGTCTGGTGAATATAGTGGGTGGTTAATACTTCCCAGGCAAGATCTTTTAACGTGTCTTTAACTGGTTTTGAAGTGATGGTGTGTCATCATGAAGCAAAATTACTTTGCGTGTCTTCTGGCACATTCTGGTCGGTTCACGATCGAAGCATGGTTCAAATTGATTATTTGTTGTCGGTAGCGATCAGTTTTAACGGTTTCACCTGGTTTTAGAAGCTCTTAAAACACCACACCTTCCTGATCCCACCAAACGCAGAGCAGTGTCTTCTTTCTGAAGTGATTTGGCCTTGCAAAGATGTTGGTGGTTGACCTGGATCAACCCATGATTTTGTGCATTTGGGATTCTCAAAATAAATCCACTTTTCATCACCAGTCACAATTCGATGCAAAAAAGACTTTCTTTCATGCCGTTGAAACAACATTTTACTGATGACTTTTCGGTTTTTCATTTGTCTTCCGTTCATTTGATGTGGCACCCATTTTCCTTCCTTTAAAATCTTTTCCATTGCTTTTAAATGATCGGAAATGGTTTGCTGAACAACGTTTAATCTTTCTGCACATTGTTTTTGAGTTTGACAGGCATCTTCATCCAATAATGCTTGTAATTGTTGGTCTTCAAACTTTTTCGGTTGACCTGGACGTTCTTTGTCTTTCACATCGAAATCATCACTTTTAAAGCGTTTAAACCACCGTTCACAAGTATCTTAAGATGGAGCATGTTTACCATAAACTTCCAGAAGTATACGATAACTTTTTCTTTAAAATAAAGCAATGAATTAAAACTTCCCGCAAATGCTCTTTTTTTTGGTATGAAATTCGACATTTTTAAGCGTAAAAATATCTATGATGTTAACACCTTCAGCAAATTTGACATATGAAGTTTTGAAGCTTGCTGTCAATACAACAAAATAGCATACATATCAAATCGCTTATATATCAACATATGTGTAACTCCATCTATTAAAAAAATCCGCATTATGAACTGGTACACCTAGTAGATGCTGGGCTTTTAATGATATTGCTATATTACTTCTATTGGGAATTGCTATTATTTTTCTGTATCAAGCCAGCATTGCCCTAGGTCTATTTGACTTTAGATTCTGAGTTTTTAACCACTGTGCTCTATTTCTCTCCCCAAAAGTAGTATAATAAGATTTTATGTGATTGTTATATCAAATTTGTTATCATAAATGGTAGTACAGGATTGGAATTCCATTCATAACAACCACAGTTTCTAATAAGGTATCTCTTTTATGCCACTATCTACAACAGAATACTGAACTATGGTGTACCATTTTCTGACACATTAAAATTATTTATGTTCCTGTTTTTCAGTGGATGATTCAGAAGCCACACAAAGCAGCAACATTTTTTGGTTGCATTGGGACAGATAAATTTGGGGAGATCCTGAAGAGAAAAACTGCCGAAGCGCATGTGGATGCTCATTACTATGAACAGAATGAGCAGCCAACAGGAACTTGTGCTGCATGCATCACTGGTGGCAACAGGTCAGTGTAATTCCCAGGGAAGCTTATACTAACTGGCTATTTCAATACTGGTAAAATCTGAATTCCAATCTAATTTTGGAATTTAGATCTCTCGTTTATAATTGCTTTTAATGTTTAATAAACTCTTCCTTATATCATTTTTTCTTTTTTAAAAAAATTGCCCTTGTTGAACCTGCTGTTGTCTTCATGTGGTATAGTGGAATGAAATTTTTGAGATTATCTAATCTAGCATCTACTCCTTATAATTAGGATCAGAGAAGGAAAACATTTTACTCAATGTCTTATAGCAAGCATTTTGCTAAACTGGGTCCCAGGTTCGATTCCGGTCAAGGGCATGTACCTTGGTTGCGGGCTCATCCCCAGTGGGGAGTGTGCAGGAGGCAGCTGATTGATGTTTCTCTCTCATCGATATTTCTAGCTCTCTGTCCCTCTCCCTTCCTCTCTGTAAAAAATCAATAAAATATATATTTTTAAAAGTTATGATTTTAAGGTTTCAATGAATAAACCACTATTGTTCAAACATATTTGAAATATACTTATTTAAACCTTTTCGTTTTTTAGTTTTTCTTAAACCAACATTAATATGCAGGTGCAAAGACAGAAATGGGTCAAGTTTTGCCTCTGTTACCACTCAAGCTAGAGAAAAATTGAGAAATTATTTTTGTATAATAAAGAGCAGTATGATAATATTAGGCTTCCCAGATGTTAACAGCTTGATTTATATACTAATATTATGGTTATGATGCTCAGTATTGTGCAGATAATTTTGGAAATTTGAAACTGAGGGAAACCCTCCCTATCTAATTCATTATCCAAATTGTGGAACCTAACATATTTGGATAAATTGTTTTAGATAGGGGTGGTAACTCTCAGTACCACTATCCAAAACGCAGGAATCAAAGAGTTTAGATAATGCAATAATTTTCTTAATCCAAGTTCTCATTCTCCAAACTCCGAACCAAACACATTTGGATAGTAAGAATACTTGTATTTTTCTTTTGGAGAAACTGAGTAGTTTCCTATCAAAGAGTAGTTTTATTATCAAAATAGAGTTTAGTAATTGATACCACAAGTGTTTGCTTTTATTTAGTAACCATTTTTGTCAAAATTTTGCTAAAGTCATGATTACTTAAATATTCTGTATAAATCAGGACTAATTATTCTGATTTTGTAATATAGTTATTTGCATATAAATATATTGATGCATATTACTCTTATTTTCATTCATCTAATTGAACATAAACAAATAGTCTCAGTAGTCAATTGGCATATGAACAGAAATATGTTTTGGAAGAGAATTGATTTACTTTTTTCTTAACAAGAGGAACCAATCATATTACCACAATCTTAAGTAATGAGATGATATTTTATTTGTGAGGATTTTTGTACCGTAACTACTATTGATTACAAAAGTGGAAAAATGCCAGGCTGGTGTGGCTCATTGGTTGAGCATCAACCTATGAACCAGGAGGTCACAGTTTGATTCCCTGTCAGGGCACATGCCTGGGTTTTGGGTTCTATCCCCAGTAGGGACTTGCAGGAAGCAGCTGATCAATGATTCTCATCACTGATGTTTCTGTCTCTCATATCCTCACCCTTCCTTTCTGAAGTCAATTAAATATATATATATATATATATATATATATATATATATATATATTTAAAAATTAACAAATAAAAAAGTGAAAAACTGTCAAGTTATTTTCTAAATTCTGAGGAGGAAAAATATTTTTATTAATTTCATATGTAATGTAAATAATTATTAAGTTTAATTGTTGAGCAATAATAAAAAGCACTGTGAGGCACTTGTAGCAAGATTTTAAATGTAGTATCCTGCTTAGATTTTTCTACTGCAAAACTGGACCAGGGCAGGGAGGTTTCAACTGTAGAAACTAAATTTATTCCAGTCATTAACATTTAATGCTTGGCAAATTATTTTCACATAGTAAATATAGTCTTTATATGTATTTTGTAAAATTAATCCCATACTTGGCTTTTAAAGCATTAGGTTAAAGAAGAAATGTATAGTGTATTGATACTTAAAAACTGAAGTTTTTATTTGAATATTTTTTATGCATAATGGCATTATAGCTTTATTTCGTAACTGCATTTTGAACTATTAAAATGTAGACAGTAGATAATCTTAGCATTTAAATATTAAAAAGAAACTTAAATGCCAGTTTCTCAAAATACCAGGTGGTATTTAGAACAAGGATTAATATCTCTGTTTATCTCACAGGCAACATAGAAGTCTCAGGAGTTCTCAAAACAAAATTCATTTTATTTACATTTCTTAAAATCAATATACAACAGTTTTGAAGAAATAAAATATAAAACATAAGTATCAAAAAATATTGTTAATTGACTGTATAGAAGTATATGACAAATTTGCAATAAAAGGAATAAGTTGTATATCTGGGGCAAAAAAACTTACTTTGCTTTTTGTTGTTATTTTAGGTCCCTTGTAGCTAATCTTGCTGCTGCCAATTGTTATAAAAAAGAAAAACATCTTGATATGGAGAAAAATTGGATGTTAGTAGAAAAGGCAAGAGTTTATTATATAGCAGTAAGTATTTATCTAATTCAAATTTCCGGTACATGTTTACACTATAAATTATAGTTGTTAGCTGATGTAAATTTTTAAATAATTGTCTTTTACTTATCCTGCAAATTACCCCTCTCAAAGCATATGTTCACTATTTAACATGCAGAATAGTAATATGATCATTCTATGGTAACATAATTTGTATTATTTACCTTCAAGTCTACCTCTTTTGGGATACATTATACATAGATATTGCTTAACCAAGTATCAAATTCCTGTAAAATCTGTTTCTTAAGGTCTTTTGAAGTAATTCTGTGAATTTACATTTTATATTTTTAGGCTACTTCTGAATAATGCATGCATTGTATGGAGAAATATTAGTATTCTAAATATTCACTGCAAACAGTTTGAGCTTATTTACCTAAAAAATCCTAATTGCTATTTATTCCATAGTAATTACCATGATACCTTTTAATTTAATATTTCAGAAATATTGATTGTGACAAATCTCTTAAATCTGGGAATAAGGGCAGCATGTAATTAGAATTATTAAGTCTTCTGACATGAAAGTAATTGGTTAAGAATTTATTTCTAAGATAAGACTGATATAAAAATCCTCCTGAATAAATCACCCCACGAATATTTTGTTTTTATATAATCTGAGTTAAATGTGGCTGACTAAAAATAAGTAGATACCTTTGAAAAATTAAAAGTACCTCAGAAGCATATAATATATGATTTTGATATAACAGCCTCTGCCACTCACTACCTGATCTGTGAAACTGCTGGTAACACGTGTAAAAAATTGATTATCTAATAGGAACGTGCTTATTGAAAATATAATTATTTCTTTCAGTCTAGTGTTAATGTCTCCTACAGCATGTTTATGTGCACTGCTGTAGGCTTTACAAGGTTGTTATTGATTCCAGTGTATAGCAAACCCTACCCCTTGATAAATGTCAAATAAATGCTTACATTAAGAGGATTATTTAGAGGAAAGACATTTTACCTCTTCTGCCAGTATATGAGAAAAACATTTCAAAACTAAAAAATTTTCTCTGTTAATCATCTTCTATTTAATTTTATTTTGCAAAATGTTCTCTTTTTTTTGTTAATGTCTTGGTAGCATATTTTTGTAGTGAAGGTTTTTAGGGAGATTTATTAAGTATTTCAAACCACCTGACATTTGAAAGTCTGATTTTCAAAGAGTACATGATTTAAATTGTGACATTAATTATGTTATATTATTTATATTGACTATGATATATGACAATATATTATGATGGAAAAGTATTTTAACTGACAGTTACAATTGTCTCTATTTAAATGTATGTAATTGGACCCCAGATCATGAACTAACTTGGAAACAACTCATGTTTTAACAGTTATGCACATGTAAGCCATATTGCCAAGTTTGAGTGAATGGGGAATTTTTATAGCAGCATGGACCTAACTTGCAAACAACTCATAGTTTCAGCAATTATGTACTACTATAAGGCATCTAGCTAACTTAGGGTGAATGAAATTTTTGTAAGAGTATTAACTATTTATACCAGTGCTATTTTGTATAAAGTATGGAGTGATTAGTTTTGGACAAGTGAATAAAGAAAATAGAATTATTCTTGAAACATGTGTAGTGTATTAGCCAGAAACAAATATCAGAATGGATTCTGGTTGATATCTCTGATAATAGCTTTTAGCCTTTAGCTTCTATTTCAACAATTTCATAAAAAGAATGCTCTTTTACATTGCCAGGTAAATCTATAAATTTCTCAGAGTTTGGCTATTTTAAAATACTTCTGAGAATAGTAAACATATATTAGATACCTGGGATGCTGTCACTGTTGGTGGACGTTCAACAAATATTTATTTTGCTAACAACTAAGAGCATAATTTTTATTTATTAAAATCTGTGAAATATCTTCTGAAATGTAATACTATTTTCATGTAGACATTCTGCAGTTCTTTTAAATCTTTAATTCTTGTTGAGCACAGAGCATCCAGTTTAGTCTTTTCTTAGCCTATTTTCAAAACAAAATTTTAGATTGAGTAGGTGTAGCTGTACTTAATCAAATAGATGGACTCCTTCCTACTTTTAAGTTCCATAGAATCAGCAGTCTTCTCACATCATCATTTTAAACTCCTGAGGTTTTAACAAGTTAAATTTCTGGGAGCCCTTTAATTACCAAAAGTTCTTGATCTAAGGAAGCAACTCAATATGTCTATTCAACAAGTTTCCAAAATTAAGACATCTGTCTGCATTATATAAAACTAGAGGCCTGGTGCACAAAATTCGTGCACTTGTGCAAGTAGATACTTTTCATATCACACTATTTAGACAAATCTTTTTTCCAATATTTATTGGGGCCAATAAGAGCACATGCATTTTACCTCGGGTGTCCCTCAGCCAGGCCTGCGCCCTCTTGCAGTCTGAGACCCTCAGGGGATGTCCGCCTGCCATCAGTCAGACATCCCTCTTGCAATCTGGGACTCTTGCAGTACAGGACCCCTCACTCCTTACCGCCCACCTGCAGTGGAGGCGAGAGAGGCTCCTGCCACTGCTGCTGAGCTCGCCAGCCGTGAGCCCGGCTTCTGGCTGAGCAGCGCTCCCCTTGTGGGAGCACCTGACCACCAGGGAGCAGCTCCTACACAGCAGCCGGTTGTTCTGCCATTGGGTCAATTTGCATGTTAGGGTTTTATTATATAGGATAAACCAGATCTACATATTCACCAATTCTTCTTTCCACTATTCCAAAAATTAGTAGTGAGCATTAAGATAATTCAAAACCTTAATCGTTTTCTTTGTCACATGATGTAGTGAAGCTAAAATGCAGAGTTCACATCAAAAAGTTGCCTGATTTAAAAAAAAACTGAAACGGAATGTGCTCCATTCAACATTCTTTTTTGGTTTAAAATAAAGTGTTGGCATCTTTTTTTTTTTTTTTTTTTTTTTACCTTTATAACAAGTACACTCAGTTTTTTTCATGTTTAAACCAAATTCCTTGTTAGTTGGTGATTAAGGATTACTAGTTATGTGATAGCTAATTACATTTTTAAAAATATAAATCTCAAGATTCTCTTCATCTGAGCAGCAGATTGGCATATATATATATATACTAGAGGCCCGGTGCACAAAAATTTGTGCACTCGGGGGGTGGGGAGGGGGGTCCCCCAGCCCGGCCTGTGCCCTCTCGCAGTCTGGGACCCCTCGGGAGATAACGACCTGCTGGCTTAGGCCTGCTCCTGGGTGGCAGAGGGCAGACCCAATCCCTAGGTGCAGCCCCTGGTCAGGCTCAGAGCAGGGCCGATTGGGGAGTTGGGGTGCCTCCCTGTCATGCACAGAGCAGGGTGGATCGGGAGGTTGCGATGCCACCCTCAGTCACGCTCAGGGTAGGGCCGATTGGGGGGTTGGGGCACCGCCCCCTGTCACACTCAAGGCAGGGTCGATGGGGAGGTTGCGGCGCCACCCCCTGTCACGCGCAGAGCAGGGCCGATCAGGGGGTTGGGGTGCTGCCCCCTGTCACTCACAGAGCAGGGCCAATCAGGGGGTTGGGGCTCCGTACACTGTCACACACAGAGCAGGGTCAATCAGGGGGTTGGGGAGCTCTACCCGCCACGCACAGAGCAGGGCCGATCAGGGGGTAGGGGCACCGACCCCTGTCACACACAGAGCAGGGCGGATCAGGGGGTTGGGGCGCTGTACCCTGTCACACTCAGGGCAGGGCCAATGGGGAGGTTATGGCTCTACCCTGTCACACACAGAGCAAGGCCGGTGGAGGGGGGTTGGGGCGCCACCCTCTATCACCCACAGAGCAGGGCCGATCAGGGGGTTGGGGCGCCGCCACTGTCACACTCGGGGCAGGGCCGATGGAGAGGTTATGGCTCTACCCTGTCACACACAGAGCAGGGCCCATGGGGAGGTGGGGGTTGGGGCGCCGCACCCTGTCACACACAGAGCAGGGCCGATCAGGGGATTGGTGTGCTGCACCCTGTCAAACACAGAGCTGCAGGGCAATCAGGGGATTGGGGAGCTCCCCCCTATCAGGCACAGGGCAGGGCTGATCAGGGGGTTGGGGCGCCGCACCCTGTCACACACAGAGCCACAGGGCGATCAGAGGATTGGGGAGCTCCCCTCTATTAGGCACAGAGCAGGGCTGATCAGGGGGTTGGGGCGCCTTCCCCTGTCACGAACATAGCAGGGCGGATAGGGAGGTTGTGGCCCCGCCCCCTGTCACACACAGAGCCGCAGGGCGATCAGGGGGTTTGGGCGCTACCCCCTGTCACGCTGATCCCGGTGCCGGGAGGCATATTACCCTTTTACTATATAGAATAGAGGCCTGGTGCATGGGTGGGGGCCGGCTGGTTTGCCCTGAAGGGTGTCCTGGATCAGGGTGGGGGTCCCCACTGGGGTGCCTGGCCAGTCTGGGTGAGGGGCTGAGGGCTGTTTTCTGGCTGGCGAGTGACTGCCAACCGCTCCTTGTTTTTTTTTTTTTTTTTCATTCTGGGCCAGCTTTAGCTCTGAGGCCTCGCTGCTGAAAACATCGATACAATGTTGCGGTCCGGCTGGCTTTCAGTCTGGCTGGTTTCTGGAGTTTTGTTTAGCTTCTTATTTGCAACATAGTACATAGTTGCTTAGAGTTGCAGCTGAGAGGCCAGCAAGTTAGGCGGGGAACGTTGGAGTCCACAGTCACTGAAGCAAGCAAGCCTCCCTGCTCGCTTCAGTGCATGGCTGCCGACCGCCATCTTGGCTGACAGTTAATTTGCATAAGGATATGCTGATTAGCCAATGGGAAGGGTAGCGGCCGTACGCTAATTACCATGTTTCTCTTTTATTAGTGTAGATATATATAATCTTTTCTTCCAGGAACTATTTCTTATAATAGCCCCCTAAGACTATGATATTTAGGAAAGTTTTATGAACAAGATAGGAAATTAGAGACAATAATTTTTCTAAACTTTGTATTTTCTTGTTAAGGCAATATTTATGTGCTATGAAAAATAAGAAAATTAGCCCTGGTTGG